TGCTCAATTGTAACTTCGATATGATTGGTTACATTTTTTTTCGGTCGATCCAGTCCGATCTAGAAATGAACAGGGCTTATTTCTACGATAATGAAGAAACATGTAATGTCAAATTATTGGATACTGATTTTTACCCAGAAAGTTGTGATTGTATTATACTAGTTCATCATATTTTGGGTTGATTTGTGATAATAAACTATCAAATTTCAACCCGACGAAATGCAAAAGAATATTTGGCCATCAATCCTATTAATAGAAAATACCATCAATAAATGCAATTTTCTTTGAATTTTATTTTTTCATTGATAAAATTAGTAATGTCTAAATTTATCAAATAAATCTGATTATTCCAATCAGCTATAAATAAAATATGTTGAAGTTTGGCCAATTCGTATTCCAATCAGCTATAAATCAGATAGTTGAATTTTGACTGATTTTTAATGTATTCCAATTGGCATAGGTTGTATTTTGGCTGATTTTAATATATACCAATCAGCTAGAAATTGGACGGACAAATTTTGGTCGATTCTTGATATATACCAAATCGGCTATAAATCGAATAGCTTAATTTTGGCTGATTTTTGATAATATCTGATTCTAGGTCAATTTTAGGCTGATTTATTACATGGCCGATTTTTTTGATTTCGACTAGTGGAAATAGCTTATACAATATACGTAATTTACAAATTTTATATATTCGTAATTTTGACAATTTCCTTATTTTGTATATGTAATAATTACATACATATTATACATAATTTCAGTATATTTTATACATTTTTTATGAATATTATTTCTGTATACAATTCTGTATATAAATTTCTTATAGGGAATTTTATTTAAATATTATTGCTTCATTATTATATAATTAAAAATTCTTCTGCTATTAACATTTATTTATGAATATAACCATTAAAGAACTGATTATAATACAAGCTTTTATTTCAAAGGATTTAATTAAAATAATTTGGTAAATTATACCTTATATGCTATAAGATCATATCAACATATAATGTTACTTAAAAAACTGTACATATCTATGCACATGTTTATTTTTATTTTATAAGATATAATTTATCATTATTGCTTTAAGTTGATGGTGGAAAATCCAAATATTAATGCTGTTAAGATGGTTTAAGATTGATTCATGGGATCATTTGGATGTCATTTTTAAAGAACCTTTTATTAGTATATCATCACAAAGAATGAAACTAATTATAATAGTTTACAAAGTTTTTTCCTAAACATCATAACAACATTCAGGAAGTTGAATTTCAGCACCATATACAAAAAAAGTAAATTAATGGGTAATTTCAAAAAGGCTGTGAATTATTCATTAGAAGATAATGATGAGAAATATTTAAATGACATTATTTTAACTTAAATTACTAAAAAAAAGAAGAAAAACGTGAAACTGAAGCTCGGTCAAGAGATATTGAATGTGAAACTTCAAATTATTTTATGAGATTAGAAGATGGTCGTGAATATAATGTTGAAGAAATTAAATATCCTCTAATTCATAAGGGTAAAGGTAGACCACCTACTAAATGTTTGAAACCTTTTAATGAAACAAACAATAAAGCGGCAAGTAGTAAAATGAGTAAGATTAATATTATTAAGGAAGTTGACAGAATGGATGCTGTTGGTGAAGTAGGTGTAGTAAGTGGATGAAAATGTCGTTTATGTCACAAAATTGGTCATTATGCTTCTAAATGTCCTAATAAAGAAAACTAATGTTAATAAAGAATAACGAAATACTAAAATGATTATATTTTTATTTTAAGCTTTTATTCTTCAAATTTTTTGAAGTTATTATTTGCATTGTTTTAAATTCAGTATGATATCATGTGAAATCACATGATTTTAAATAGAAGCGATGTGTAAGAATAGTCGCCTCCTGCGATGAATAAATTATCCTTTCATATATAATGTATACAATTAATTCATAATAACATTAAAATGTGAAAAGATTTCATCACCATCATAAGTATGTTATAAATACGAAACATTGCATAAAAATATATATTCACGATTTATGCGAAAAATCCGGATTTCGAATCCAATATACATATTTTATAAAATATACAAGCCCCTGATCCAGGTTAAACTGGATTTATTTTTGTAAGATACGTAATTCTTGGAAAAATTTTTAGCCTATAAGATCTAAAGGTCAAATCAGGAAAAAAAAAAGATTAGTTCAATCTCATCGATCGATAACTCATTAACAACGAGAATATTCTGCAGTCGGAGGTGGGTTAAATTTTTTAATGTTTGCTAAATTAAGTAATAATAAATATGGATGGGCTAAAAATATAATTATTAATGAAAATTTCCAATTTATTAAAATACATTTTTCTCCTGAACGCGCTTTTCATATTTTCGCGCTTATGTCAAGGTATTTGTTGTATTAGTAGTGGCTTTCCATTCTGGTTACGAGCTCAACAATTTTCGCAAATATTGATTGATTTTCGATATACCTTGGATGTTCATTTCTATAGACAAGTATTATCCCAGTACTATTGATAAGTTATTATCTTTATGAGGTCGTTCCTTTAATACATTGATTCTTAAGTTCTGACTCCCAACCGCCCCCAAGCACGAATTCCTTACTCGTTTAATAATACTTAGATCACAAATCTAACGTTTTTATTTTTATTTTTTTTTATCACTTTAATAGGAATATCTGCGGAAATGTACTTTTTGAACTTACTCGTTGCAGAAATTTATTTGAACGATCTCTTCTCATTTATTTCGCGTTATTTTTTTTCAAGGTATTTGTTATATTAGTAGTGGTTTTCCATTCTGGTTACGAGCTCAACAATATTCGCGAAATATTGATTGACCTACAGGTTCGATATACCCGGGATGTTCATTTCTATAGACAAATATTATCCCAGTACTATAGCGTATTGATAATTATTATCTTTATGAGGTCGTTCCTTTAATACATTGACTCTTAAGTTCTGACTCCCAACCGCCCCAAGCACGAATTCCTTACTCGTTTAATAATACTTAGATCACAAATCTAACGTTTTTATTTTATTTTTTTTTATCACTTTAATAGGAATATCTGCGGAAATGTACTTTTTGAACTTACTCGTTGCAGAAATTTATTTGAACGATCTCTTCTCATTTATTTCGCGTTTTTTTATCAAGGTATTTGTTATATTAGTAGTGGTTTTCCATTCTGGTTACGAGCTCAACAATATTCGCGAAATGTTGATTGACCTACAGGTTCGATATACCTGGGATGTTCATTTCTATAGACAAGTATTATCCCAGTACTATTGATAAGTCATTATCTTTATGAGGTCGTTCCTTAATACATTGACTCTTAAGTTCTGACTCCCAACCGCCTCAAGCACGAATTCCTTACTCGTTTAGTAATACTTAGTTTACAAATTTAATATCTTTTTTTATTTTTTTTTTATAATTCTAATAGGCAGGCAGGCATTTCAACGGCAGATGGTTACTTAATGTTAGCTTTTCACGATAAAATTTTAGAGGTGAAAATGAAATTGGATGGTGAAGGCGTGATCCATGCTGCGCCGATCAACTACAACCAATCATGTGATTTGAAATATTTGGCCGATCTGACCGATA